GTTAAAAATATTCCTAATGGCAATGCTCCAATCGTACAGCTTGTATAAAGAAGTGTAATAGATGTGTTAAGTGGGTCGAATGAGACTAAAGCATCAAGATAACACAGCTCGCCAGATTGTTGAATTTTTTGATGAACTCGTCATATTAGGTTTGTTACGATATATAAAATAAAAGGTGTATGTGTAGAAGAATTGTATTTTTGAAGAACAGCAACTCCATTTCCTGAATTATTATAAAAAGTAACTATTTCCTGTAACCGGTTAAACATTCCCTGTCCATTTTGATCTCTAAGTTGTATAACAAGAAATTGATTATAAAGATGTTTTACGAAGCCTCTATCTGGATTTTTTGCTCGATCTGCTAACAAGTGTACAAGCTCATCATCATCTAATGCTGACAAATATAACTCATCTTCATATGTATATTGTACTGAAGCTACCGAATATCCCATTTTAAACAACTCAATATATTTGTTTTGAGATTTGATACTAACTGGCCTGAAACTTAGTGATATAGCTGAATTAGGTAAATGGTTATGTAAAAATCTAAGATTAATTTCAAGCAGGTAAAAATTTTTAGAGTTATCTTTTTCTATCTGAAAATTAAGTGTTGCTTTACATCCCATATCACTATTTCTTTGGCTATCTGGATTTTTAATTTCACGATTATTATTTTTTTGTTTTACAGTGTGACTATGGATGCAGTAACATTGTTCTCAAAATATAACTTTAGATCCTTTAACAGGAAATGTCTGTATTAATCACATAGTAGTTTTTGATTTATCTTGAAATTGAGCTAACCATTCTGATATGTTATCTTTAATGTCTTCAATGTTAATATATACAAATAAATCAACAATAATTTGTCTGATTGTAACTTTTTCTGCAGTAACTATTGGTTCAGGTTCACTATAATTCATCACTTTGTATAAGTAATTTGACAGGAGTATTTGTTGAAGTGAAATTGGTAAGTCAGATATATTAGATTGGTCATTGTTCTAAAAATTTACAAAATTTTTAGTTTGTAATATAATTTTATTCAACTATATAAAAATAAACCATACTTTTAATAAAATATCCATCTTGTTGTTAAAAGAAAAGCATTGCAAGTATTAAATTATTTTTATTATTAATCAATTGTTATTATTATTAAAGTTAATCATATTTAAAATCATATCAGAATCCGATCACACCTGTGACTTCCAGAGTATCAACCTGGTACACATTTTCCGGATGCTTAAATTTTTCATACATGATTATGTATACGGAAACCCACTTTCACAGGTTCCTATATAGCATTTGAAAAAAAATATAATGCTACGCATATTCTGTATTGCTACATTTTTTTTTTTACTGTGACAAACATTCGCTCTTTAGTAGATAAGTGTGACATAACCAACAATCGCCCTTTAGTAGTTAAGAAGAAGTTCAAGATCGATAGTTACACCAAAAAAAGAATGTTTGTGGCGTTAAGGGTGGGTGGGAGGGTCAATAACAATTATTGACAATTATTAAAGGTGGGTAGGTGGGTTAACTGTTTTTGACAATTTTATTAAGGGTGAGCTGAGTTAATTTGTTTGTTTACTATTATTTAACTCGCGTTCTTTGCGAGACCTCTGTTAAAAAAAATTAAACAAACATTTGAGCGTGACCAAAACTCGAACTTTAGTAGATAAGACTAGCTCTCAAACCTGGGCGTTGCTCCAGGGCTCAGTTTTAATTTTTTTCTATTTTTAAATTTTTTTATATTTTAATTTTATAGTTTCCTAGTTTTTGGACTCAAGTGATACTCTAGAGGAACATTCTTAACTTTTTTAAATTTTTTTAAAGTAATAAAAATAGGTTTAAAGCATTAGTATTTTTTTATATTGTAGTTTTTTAACTTAATATATATTATTAAAAATAATTTAATTATAATATTTATAGAAAGTATTATATAAAAACATTTATTAATATAAAAATATTAATTATAAATGCTTAAGATATATGCTATAAACTTTATTAAATTATAATATAATACAGT